CTTAGATCTTTGAGTTCAGCTCATGAAAAATGGGGGCAAAAACAAAAGTGTTGCATTTATAATTTTGTTCAGTGTATTTTAATCTTTCTAATATGTTTATTTTGATGCTTAAGAACCATTATTTATTATCAATGTTAAAAACAGTGAAATTGCTGGTTCTCAACTGGTGTGTCCAAACTAGTAACCAGTTTGAGCTCAGTTGTGGTATGCTTTTTGTTTTGCTGTCTATTCTCCGATATATAACTTTTCTGAACTTTCTGTGCCAACGGCACAATCAAAGTGCTGTTATGTTGTAAAAAACGTGTTTTGTGACTCAGAAGTCATGAAAGTGTTGATATCAAGCTCTATTATAGATGAACAGTATTGGCCATTTTCACTTTAAGTGCTCAAGAAATTAAATAAGGCCACTCTAAGCACTGATGGAAAAGGCTGAAGGAAGTGTTTTGCCACCACAATTGACTGTTTTCTTTGTGTTGATTTATTGCAGTGCAATAACCCAAAGACCAAAGAGCCCAAGTTAAGTGCAGCGGTGAGGATTGTTCCAGAATGGTCCAAGTACGACAATGAGATAAAGCAGTTTCTCAAACGGGTGAAGGAGCAGAACGAGAAAATTACTGAGGGTAGATCATCATCATCATCATCATCACCACAGCACACAGGTAAGACTTAGTCATCACTAAAATTACTTTTCTAGTAAGCCTTGTGTATAAAGCACAGTTCATAACATCATCTGTATTTTAACAGGCACTCGACGTGATGAACTTTAGCACTTGAGTGCTCATGTTTGCACCTACAGTATCTTCCTGTGAATCTTGAACTCAACCATACAGAGATGTTTTCCACAACAGGAACACTGAGGAAATACACACAAGGAAACATTTTAAAGGACTTCATGACATTTTTTATGTATACGAATTTGATTGAAGGTTTAGTTTGAATGCTCTGACTTCAAAATGTAAACATTGAATGTAAACAAATGTAAACATGACAAAAAGATTTCAAGCAATTGCAGCGTTATCTGATATGTTTGGCCAGTTTATGAAATTACAGTGTAATTACACCAGTGCGGTGTATATTTATAAGGGACAAACATGTCAATAGTGTGTACATTCCTTCAGATAAGATTATAGATGTTTATACAGTTTCACAGTTCACTCCACATGGCCTTTTTTGTAACAGTTTCAGTAAATATTCTGTCATCATATTTTAACAGTCAGTGTTTGTAAATGAAAGGTATCTGTGATTGCAAATTGTTGATTTAAAACAAATGTCTCACTAACAAATTCACTTTTAAATTACCATTGAAAGTCTGAACACTACCAAGTAGAGCTCTCTAAGATATACAGTATATTTCCAGAATAAACCATACAACTGTAAACTACTGTGGGGGGGGGAAATCAAATTCCCATATTCATTGCTGTCAAAGTCAGCTCTGCAGATCCATTCTCTAAAACTGTCTCTGTATCCCAATTACTGAGACGGATCCTTTACATTCCCAGTTTTATTTATATTACATCATTGACTCTGTACACATTTGTTTCTATGCCTTGATGTTCAAAGATGTGGATTTTCTCAGGAATAAAGTGATTTTTATTCTGAAAGGGGGTACAAGTCTTTTATGATACACTGGGTGATTTAAATTCATTCATTTTAATGTTAAAAGCATTTGAGTGCACAAATTTGTTTAATCAAACACCGCTATGCTCTTCAGTCATCGTAAAAACAGACCAAAAAGTCATGTTAATTTAAATAAGCATTCATATCTCTTTATTTCCTTATTTACAGCATAGTTTGATTCACAGAAAAATAGCATTGTTTTCTATGTACATATTATTCTTGGGAATGAAAAGGTCAGCGCTCACAGACTTTACTTGATTATTAACCTTGCGCTCTGGATTGTAAGATCCCTGAAAGTATAGGAGCTGCTTTGAACAATGACCGTTAGCAAACGGGATCACTTGATAGCGTGAGATCGGTGTTTGAAGGCAAGCCGTGCCTGTGGGTGGGTTCAGAAGGTGCCAGTTCCTATAGGCTGACTCCAGCACATATCCAGGCCCTAGGTCTATTCAGCCGAGCCTTAGTTGAAATTGAATTTGAAATTAAAAGGTCCAGAACCGAAAGGATTGAATCCCTGGAAGTTTTCCCAGCCACCGTGGAAGTGGTGGTGGTGATGCCCCCCACCCTGCTGACTCTCTGGATCCATGGGGTCCTCGCCCTGATCAAACTTACTCCTCATCTCTGCAGAGAAACAGAAGAACTGGACTAATTACCACAGAACATTAACCGAGCAACAACAGAGTGAAGCTACAAATGTGGCACTAAAATATACCTGGATCGGTGAGAACTTCTTTGGCTTGAGCGATGTCTATGAACTTCTTCTCTGCCTTTTTCTTTTCTTCTGCATCCTGGAAATTGTCTGGATGCCACTGCTGCGCCAGCTTTCTGTATGCTTTCAGGATCTCTTTCTTTTGGGCGGTTCTGCAAGCACAGCAGTTTAATAAGAGTGTTTACTTACTTTAAAATAAGTATTAGGCCTCTGCATTGATTAACAGATGACACAGAGTTGTTGTGTGTATTATCTAACCTCTTTACACCCAGGATCTTGTAGTAATCTCTCTTCTGGGACTGTTTGATGAGCCGCTGTGCTCTTTCCAGACCCTCCTTGATCTGCCGGTCGTTCTCACTATGTTCTTTAGCACTCTCAAAGTCCTTAATGGCTGCAAAAAGAACACAATTCGGTCACTTCACCTCATCATTTTAAGGAATCTTGAGGAAAAAGTATTAAAAGTAGCCAATTTCCTATGTATAAAACATCACCCAGTTATTAATAAAATACAAAAACTGTTACAATGGTTAAAAAAAATAAAAATAAAATGTGTCCATATATCCAGATCTACCCTCTTCATACTGGTCATCCTGGAGGTAGGCCTCTGCTCTGTCTTTTAAAGCATTCACATTCGGAGGGTCTGCTTTCAGAACTTCACTGCACACTGAGATGGCTTTGGCAGTTTGTTGGTCCTGAAGAATAAGATCAAAACATAATCACTCACATCAGTTACGCGCAGATGCAGTGTATGCTTTGGTAGATAGCGCCACCTTGTGGTCAAGGAGCTCAGTCTCACCTTTGACAAACAGTGGCACATGCGTTCTTTGGCATTAAGTATGAATTGAGGAACATTTGGTTCAGTCTTCATAACAGACTCATATTTACTAACTGCATCGCTGTACCTGGGGATTTAGTAAAACAATCATTTAGTTTCTTTAGATTGTCAATGAGTGTACATTCACTTTAATGGGTTTCAATCAAATTTATCATAAGTGGCAGTAAAGAATATTCTATTTCAAATAAAAACTGTTCTTTTAAACTGCATTTTTTATTTATTGAAGAATCCTGGAAAAGAATCCTTAAGTGCAAATTCTGAAGAATTGTGTGACACTGAAGACTGAAATGGCTGCTGTAAATTCATCTTTGCCATCACAGGAATAAATTACACTTTAAAATATATTAAAATAGAATATAGTTATTTTAAAGTGTAAAAATATTTAATAATATTACTGTTTTTACTGTATTTTTAATTCAATAAATGCAGCCTTGAGCATAAAAGACTCATTTCAAAAATTTTAAAAGTTTAATAAATTACAGACCTCAAACTTTTGAATGATAGTGTGTATGTACTATTTATTTAGTTAATTATATTCAAATGAATTAATAAATTAATTAAAATGTATTTTATTTTATTTTATATATTTAGGGTATCCTGGAATCCCTGTGACCCTGCATAGGACAAGTTTGAAAAATGGATGGATGTGTTATATTATATGGAAATATAAAACAATAAAAAAAAGAAACATTCCTAAAAAATAACTAAAATAAGAAAAATAATCTATATCACAATATTATTATTAATGTTATATTCTTTAAAATGTTGTTGTTGGTTTTTTTTACAAAATATAGCAACATTGGGACATACATTTGCTGCTGGATCAGTTCCTCAGCAGCTTGTATCTGTTTGTTGAGCTTCTTAACTTGCTTGTAGTGGCTGAAGCACTGTTTATGATCTGGGTCCAGTTTCAGACACTCCCTCACCTCACTGCAAAAAAAAAAAACACACACACACACACACACACTATTAAGCATGGGTCCAGCTGCTAAATGTTTATTACAAATTCAAAATAACCAGACTGAAAACTGGATGCCACTCACTTTGGACATGCAGCATAGTGTGGCACTTACTTGTACATTTATCTTTGCATATATTGCATTTCATTTCACATACTATTATTAAAACATAGTAGGCAATATATGTTAAAGTCTATATTGTGCAATACGCTAGTAGGCTTAGAATGCTTTTGTAGCATACATGAACTCCAAACTCCCAGAACTAAAGCATTAATAACTACATGTTGTCTTACTTGAGGGACATCTCATGGTCTCCCAGGTTGTAATAGATGGTGCTGAGCTTGTAGAAAGCCTGAGTGTTGTCACTTTTTAGTTTTGAAGCAGCCTTGAGGTCACTGATGGCTTTGCCCATTTCACCCAACTGAACGAAACACTCTGCCCGCATCTCTCTGGAGTCCGCATCCCAAACACACGTCTGAAAAGATGACAAGCAAATAAAAAGGACTTGACAAATCTTGTTTTTTTATAATATTTATAATAATAATACCTTGCTATTGGCAGTTAATATGATATTTGTTGTTTACAGTTCCTCCAAAGCAAACATGATGACATTACTGAACAAAGAGTGCCCTTACTGAGCACAGGACAAAAGCACCTGTATCACCTACAGTAAACAGGAACCTCTTGAAGGTCAATTCAAACTTCTGAGTTACTAAAGTAGGGACATAAATTAAGGTCAATGTTATTTTAGTATCATTGGTATACTATTATAGATATCTTAATATTTCTAATTAGATTCTATTTTTATGTGTTCTATTTTTTTATTGTTATTTACGGAATATAGACGTTTTGGGACATACTTCTTTGGATCAGTTTTTCAGCAGTCTGGTGAGCTTTCTAAGTTTGTAACTTTAATAGTCATTGATGTACTATTATAGCTTCTGTTAATATTTCAAACAAGATTGTATTTTTTATATTTTCCATTTTCACTTTCATTTTAATTGAAGTTTTAGTAATTTAGTTGTTTTTTTTTATTTATAGTAGCTTTTGATGTTTTTTTGAAATATGCATATATAGTTTTTCTTACTTTTTATTTATTTGTTTTAGTTATTTAGTTTTTTACGTTTTACGTAAGTTTACGTTTTTCAAAAAACAAAGATACGTTGTTTTCTTGGCTATAGTTCTAGGTTTAGTTAATGATAATAACCCTGATCCAGGTTAACTCACATCAATGATAATGTCGAGGTGTGATACAGCAGAGCCGTAGTCTCTGCGGGTGAAATCGCTCTGTGCCTGGCCCACCAGTCTCTGAATTTCATCAGATTTCTTCAGCTGGCTCTGTGCCTCCTGCTCTTCCCTGCTGCTTGGGTTTGATTTGAGCTAAAAGGCAAAAAAAATGTGTCACTTAAGAAAATGAACAGAAAGCAAGTGCCAAAACAGCAGAACAGTTCAATTGTGCAGGTTAAACGAAGCCTTTGGGGTAATGACAGGAAATATACCCCACTGACTCACCCAACTAAGAATACTCTAGAGAAAGATGAGGGCACTTCAGAGAGACTTAATTAAATATTGTTTCCTCATAGGTATTACAATTGAAATGTTCATGTGATATAGAATGTACTGCCATTTTCTTCAGAAGATTTATGTGGACATGATAACTAAGTGTGCACTGATCAGAAAATACCATACAGTTGCCAATACAAAACAGCCTGTATTTTAGCATTATGTTCAACCGATACTAAAATATTTATTTTTAAATAACCACTTTTATGGCAGTTTTAATTTTAAACCATGTGCTACAGAAAAATGGACTATACAGTAAAATTACAGAAATCAATTCACATTCGTGTGTTATTATAACCGACCAGTTAAGGATGGCAGGTAATGATCAACCGGTGTCCAACTGGTGCATCCCTAATGCTAATCAAATGCCACGCACCACTTTTTTTAAATCCCTTTCTGCTTCATCAAGTTTGCCGTGTTTCAGCAGTAGGTTTCCTCTCTGAAGCCTCGCCTGTGGATTAAGAAGAAACACTGGTTACACAGGTTTTGGTAAATCATATAAAAATGTTGTACATATTTTACAGTGTGAAATGATTCTGAGAACCCACCGATGTGAAGTCTGGTTTAAGTTCGATGACTTTGCTCAGGTCTGGTAATGCAGATTTTGACTTTCCCATGGCAAGGTACACAGTTGCTCTCCTATAGTACGCCATGTAATTTTTGAGGTCACCATCTGACAATTAAAAAAAATAATATTTTAATTAAATTAATTCATTAATAAAAAAAAATAATAATTCCCTTAATAATAAAAACCTTCATTTAAAAACTGCATGTTGTGTTCACTTGTGTTATCTTTGACTAAGATTTAAATTTGTTTGATGATCTGAAACATTAAAGTGTGACAAACATGCAAAAGAAATAAGAAATCAGGAAGGGGGCCAACACTTTTTCACACCACTTTATGTGTGTATGTACATCGAAACTGCATTGTGTGGAAAAGAATGCATTACACACAAGATTTCATTTAAGTTCTCATGTAAAAAGATCCAGTACTCACCAACAGCAGCGTGGAAGTGAGAGAGAGCATCTGCCAGCTGTCCAGCGGCCAGAAGCTTCTTCCCCATCTCCAGATGATTCTCAACACCACCATCCTTCCCTCCATTAACCCCTGCAATACACGTGAAAGGCAAATACGTTTTAATCTAGATGAACCACATAGCACAATAAGGTACACATGCAATACCTGAATCATGTGTTCAGTAGTAGCAGTATAGCACACTGGAGTAGTGCACATTAGTGTACAGTTAGTATGGCAATAGCATAGTATGCCTCAAACGTGTCCACTAGCGTCGAGCAGAGTACAATAGAGTCAGGAAGACTAGATTAGTAAACATTTTAGTGAAGTGAAACAGTGACAGACAACATACATTGTTGCAATGGAATCACAGTATTCCTTTAGAGCAGTACAATAGAAAAATGCTATAGACAAAATAACATCACAAAAACTAAATTAAAAAAAACATCATTAACGTTTAAAGCATGCTTGACAGGTAACTGGATCCTCAGCAGCGTGTTTCTAGACTATTATAACAGTTCTCCATATGTAGTTCATGAGTAACGTGTAGACATCTAAACAGCTGGGATTTTTCATCTCTCATTGACTTTCTTTGAGTTAATTTATAAAAACAAAGTCACTTTCTCTAAATAACTGCCATGAAGATGAACATATACAAAACTGGTTAAAATCATTTCTTAAACAATAGAACTGACCACTTACCTTCGTATCGAAGATCGATCAAAACTAGTAAAAAAGGAACGTAGTTTAGTAGTTTGTGCGCCACTGGGCTTATGGCAACCATGTTTACTTTTCTTTCCTCCGTCAAATCACTGAATTAACGTATAAAGTTCCTATAGACACACTGGACATTCGCATAGCTGTCGGGCCAGCGGACATCATGCCCACTGGTCGTGGGGCACTCTGATTGGCTGATATTTCTCTAAACCCCGCCCATCGCGCCCTGTTAAACGAAGGCTAGCCACGGCATCATTATTTTGGTTCTGTTTGCGCATGCGCGGCAGTGAGCGTGCACAATGGTGGAGGGGGGAGTTAAGATGTGTGACATCTATACGAAATTTAAATTTATTATGTAGAACTGTATTTTTCGACTTTGTCAGAGGATTTTTTTTCCGTCTGTAACTGGCTACATCTACGCACGTCTTATCAGCATGATTCTTGAGAAAAACTGGCAGAAAAGGGCTACATTTCTCTTCTACATATATTCTACCGTTCAGCCAGCTGTAGCAGTGCTTCCAAGCCTGAGGAACTCGTGTGATGTTGCATGTGTCATGTAAACATGTATTTTGTCTGGGCTCTGTATTTCCAAAATAATGAGACACTTGAAGACATTATCAAAAAAATCCAAAACGTTTTTTTTGGAGAAAATCAGGAAGAATCTTCGTTGTTGATGTAATTTTCTCAAAGAGAAATCAAATACAAAGAGGCAAGCACACTATGTATGCAGCAAAGGAAGACAGCATTGCTGAAGTGATAACTGGTCAAATGCATCATTTATTTATCTTTGTAACCGAAATGTAATGGCAGCATTTCATCAGTCTCATCATGCCATTACTTGACTGAAAAACTACTTTCCCTTTTATGTGACGTGATTCATGCTATAAAAGGATGATAACCATGAACTTTTCACATCATCTTGTGATCAGTAACATCATCAGTCCTATAAGAGGATCCAGAGGCTAAGCTATTTGTTGCACTCTGAAATCACTGGCATTGTTTGTGGTCCTTTTTCAGAGCTTATCAAAACATATTGCTTAAATATTTTGACCATCTTTATGGAGATTACCACAAAAGCTTTCCAGTTTAATTATTTAGAGTCTTGTAATTGAAATAAACTACTCTCTAAAGTGACGTTTTGCTAGCTTATTTAGACTTGATCAACTGATGTGCAGCATCTTCAATGGTTTAAGTGGATCTGCAGTCTGATTCCAGGTAAGAACATGTCCAGCTCATATGTGAATTTTCACTTGAATTAACAAGGCTTGTATTAAACAACTGCATGATATTATCTGACACCATCAGTCAGAAATGAATCAGCGTGATTTTTTGTTTTTATTTTCATAGTAAAATGTATTATTATTTCAGTGCCGACTGTCGAGACTTTGTGTGACCACGACACAATTCAACATCGCTGGTTCTGTGTACTCTAGAGCGGAGCATGCAGAATCAGTGTTTATCTGGATTTTATGTACCATTGAGATTCCAGTCGTACTCTTGACCCTGTTTGCATTGTGTTTTCTCATCAAGTCTAATCGTGCTGCTTCAGTTTATGTGATTCTTTCAGATCTGTTACAGATAATTTTTGTGTTGATATCAACAACCCAATGGGAATCTAGAGAATCAAAGAGTGCATATAAGTATTGCTTGATTGTGGGTCTGCATTTCATGGCATGTATTGCTATTGAAAGATACCTTTTGGTTTCTGATCCTATCTGGTACAGAACTCACCGTTCAGTCAAATTCTCCTGTTTTATTTGTTTCATCATCTGGTTAATGCCTCTGATCTTTGCAGGGATAAAAAAAATTCTCTAAAATTTCATGGCCTGTCCTAATGTCTAGCGTATTTTATCCCTAATCCTCCTGTGTTTTGTTGGTACTTGGAAGGGCCTCTCTCACTCAACATGGCAGTCTTTCTCTTGTGCTGCTGAATTACACCTTTCTCATTCTCCCCAATGCAATTAAGGTTTTTATTAAATTCTTTGGATTTTCTGTAAGCCAAAGAATTTCCAACTTTTTTACTGTCTCTGGTATCTAAACCCATTTGTTGACTGTTTATTGTACTTGTTCATGAGAAGTGATTTTGATGATATACTGGCATATACCGCTGTATTGGCTCTGACAGACATCATACAGCACAACGCAACACCAGCACTCATCATCATAATGTGCAGTAACTAACAAGTCAAGCCATTTTTATTTATATACAGTAGTGCTGTATTAGCAGCTTCAGTATTAATAGTACCAAAGCAGCACTAAAAAGACAAAAGTGATATATATATATATTATTTATAAGCTTGTTTCTTCATGGGGACCTCAATTTAGGTCACCACGGTGACACGAGGCCCCATGAGTCAGTGTGTAGCCTATTCAGGTGTCCCTGAAAAATACACACACACACGCACACACTAGCCAAAACTTTTGTGGTTTTGCATTTTATAATTATTTTACTGTGGAAGATGACTAGTCAAGTCAAATGTATTTATATTGCTCTTTTCACAATACACATTGTTTCAAAGCTTACAGAAAGACTTACTGTTATGTCAATTAAGAGATTTAAAGATTTTTAAATGTTGGTCATTGTTCTATTAAGATAAGTATCTTGTTTAAGTATACAGTTTATTAACTGTATGTAGTAGAACAAAATATGAAAATAACTATTTGAATTATTACCGGGTTGGCCTACAAATTGACGTCACAACTGAACAGCACTATTTCCATCCCACAGGTCTGTGTGAGTATTGTCAGGAGGAGGAATCAGAACATGTCACTGCCAAAAATATATTACAGAAAGAAATATTCAGAAGGACACCACAGGAGATACTAGATGCAAAGCAAATACTCGGTCAAACAGGAAATGATAAATCGTTAATTGTATTCTTGAGGGAAACTGGGTTAATAAATAAAATATAAAGTGTAATTTTTTGTTTGTTTGTTTGTAAAGTTCTGTTAGTCCCTCTGGCCCACACTCTAGTATAGTAGGTGGCGGTAATGCACCTTAACGTTGGATGCCACCAGCCATAAAACAAGAAGAAGAAGAAGACCGCAGCACTATTTCCGCCACATATAAAGAGTCGAAAGTTTAATTTCATCACACATGCAACGGTGGTAGTTAGTTCTTCAGCGGTGTGTCAACAAACTATATTACAATGTCTGCATGTGCATTGAGAGTGTTTCTCCAGCGAGCAGCTGTGATGTGTAAAGCGGCGCACCAAACATTCAGTCAAACGAGAGCGTTTCCTCAATGCGTGACCGGGAGCTACACACACAGTAGAGAAATAAACACATTAACAAATTCACTAAGGTAAGAAACTGTCTTTTTAAAATTGAGTCGTTAAGACTTAACCATTTTAGCAATTTTGTCAGCAGTGATGTGGTGATGTAATGTCCCCAAAAGTGTGTCTTACATCAAATACGTAACGTCATTAGGTTAACAGTTAGATAACAAAATGTCAAAACGAGTAGCATTTTTTTAAAAAGAGACCATTCTTTAGCGATTCTGTCAAACAAAAAAATGCCACCACAGTAGCACAGTTTCTTAGGGTTCACATGATAAAACAATAGATATAATGTTGAAAATGCAATGGTTGTCAAATGTCAAATTTGTGAACGTGAGGAGAACTGATTTCATACATTGACTTAAATGACCTTAAGATCTGTAGGGTAAAAGTCATTAAAAACATGGTTCAGATAAGTTCTGAATGATCTAGCATAATCTGCTTGCGCAGTCTTGTTTTGACACATGGTGTGATATTTTATGTCTAATGACATACATGTGTGGCTTAAGTCCACAACTATTTTTGGGCTTACTGTATTTCCAGTTGAGCATGTTGTTTAGCTGTTTTGTTGTAGTTTTTTTTTTTGTGTGTGTGTGTGTGGGTCAAGGCTATTGAGTGTATGCATTGTGTAATAATGTGTTCCTCCTTATTTTATGTTATCTGTCTTTATCGTATTTTTATCTTTGGGTCTATGCCTGGTGACTAACAATGTGACTATTGTTATGGTTGATACATTGATACCTGAAGCTTCCTCAAGGTTATTTTATACACACACCAAACCTCTGGAGTACTTGATCTGAATGGTCAAATATTTCCCAATCTTGACCATTGTTCAGGGCATTGCTATATGCTATATACCTGACTGCTATGCTGACATACCTACACTACTATTCAAAAGTTTGGGGTTAGAAAGCAACTGCATTCAAAGTTGATAATGATAATGGAATAATAATAATAATAATAATAATAATGATGATAATTGAAAATGGTTATTTTAAGTTAAGTTATAATATGTGAACCTGGACCACAAAACCCAGTCATAAGGGTAAAATTTTTGAAATTGAGATTTATGCATCATCTGAATAAATAAGCTTTCCATTGGAGCATGGTTTGTTAGGATAGGACAATATTTGGACATGATCTTTACTTAAAATCCTAAAGATTTTTGGCATAAAAAAAAATTATAATTTTGACCCATACAATGTATTGTTGGCTACTGCTACAAATATACCTGTGCTACTTATGACTGGTTTTGTGCTCCAGTGTCACATATATTACAAGTATTACTGTTGTTGAGCATAGTGGACGACTTTCAAAAAATCTGACCAGTACTTGCATGAATAGTGTGTAACACTACGTTTACATGCAACCAAATAATCCATTTGTAATCGGATTGACGGCTCAATCAAACTGAAAAACCTTCACGGAAACACAATCAGGGTATCCAACCTACCCGTGAAATATTAGTTTATCTCATAAATATTAATTTACTTCGCACCTGCACTCACAACTACCTACTAGTCTACATCTTTGGCACACCGCCTGAATTATTATAGCTAACCACCTATTAAAATCTGTGTGGCAAAGCTGTGCGATGCACTGCAGCGTGGGAAGAATGTATTGTAGACAAGCGCAGACCACTATTAATTTATGTGAACATAGGTAGTTTTAGACAATAAACTGAGTTTATTTAATTAATATTGAGTATTAGCCAGCTAACTGATGGCATACAAAATTGTTAATTTCTCTGCCAACTAAACCAAAGTCACAGAACCGTTGTGTGACTGACTTGCAGCAGGCGCATATAGTGGTGTATCATTCCTGAATGAATCAGAGTCTTTGAAAAAAAGTGACGTGACATGTGGCCAAGTATGGTGACCCATACTAGGAAT